TGAAACCTGAATTGTGTGTGTGATGTCGTTTGCAAAAATACTGAAAAATGGAATGATGGATGAGTTACATATAAAGGAGAACCAGAAGATCCTTGTGAAATAACAAACGAAACTCGAAAGGTAGACAAAAGAAACACAGTACGTGAAAGATGTGCAATGGCAGTTTTAAATTTAAACTTTATCCCACTGTAAACTGTCACATTGTTTCTACTTCACATTTTCTTCAAGAACCATGATTACCTGGATAAATGTTTTCCATTTGAAAAAGAATAGGACTTTAGGTGATAAGATTCGCCAACACCTGTCATTATTAAGACAGAATGAGTCCTGTATTAGAATATTTATGAAGTCCTGAGATAACTGAAGCACTCTGTCAGCCATGCTAAGAATATTAATATGAAAGATAAAGGTGTAATAATAATTCATTCATTTGTTCTCCCGCTTCCCTATGCTTTTCCTTTGAAACCTGATTGTGGTACTCCAAGAATCGATAAATCAACCGCAGACAATGTATAAGCACACTGTGCGCTAGCATGGGAAGTATAGTCGAAATTGTGAGAAAAAGATGACTGCAAGATTAATGATACAAAGAAAGCACAAATACACAAAAAGACGACATCACCAAGAAGACTGAATATCAAATATCTGAGGGGTGCTGTTGTGCGAAGAGGCAACATTTTACAGGGTAGAAACAAGTATGAGTTTTGAACTCAAAAATGCACTTAGAAAATAATTCTGCCGGTGGAATGATCCTGTAGAACCCATAAAACAAATTAGTGTAGTTTATTTAATACGCTTTAATTATTATCAGGTTGAATACTTAAATCACAATAACGGGATGGGGTCAATCAGATAGTTGAACACAAAAAAGAAGCAAAATCTGAATTAGTTGACGAGAATAAGATAAGTCCTGAAAAGAGCTCAGCTATGGCACTACATATGATCACATACAACCCTATATTGGGATGAGATAAGATGACATATTTAAAATCGTGAGTAAAACACTGGAAGGACAGATTGATAAATGAGGCTTTATTAATCTAATCAGAGGAAAATGAGCTCTATAGGAATGGCCCAATACCTGCTACGGGGAATTATACTATTATCACAATGGATAAGGAAGAAGAACTAGAAGGGGCAGTTGCACAGCTATGGTTTATAGGGATGTGAACGTTAATTTGAGTTCGAAGCGTTATCCAGTACATAATACATTTTCCCTGTGTGATATATTCGATAAAAAAATTAGAATGGATTGAAACACTAGCTATTATCCAAGTCTTACACTTATATTATGACTGCTGGGCATTAATCGGCGCTATTTCAACCATACAGTGTCAGGAACCATTTTTTGGGAAACAAAGTTATTCAAGACATAAATTTTATGAGTAGTTCAAGAACTGCTGAAGTACTGTTTCAAACAAAAATACATTAAATTTCAGTTCGTTTCACATAGCCACACTACCAATAATTACCTACGAGCGTTTGTGTTCACTTAGTATATAACAATCAATAAAGTGTTGACTAACATATCCTAGCAGCATACGACAAAATACTGGACATCTCAAGACGTTATCGCCTCTCTCCAAAATGTTTTGTTACTGACTAGTGTCACCTGTGTAAGGAAGCTTCCTGTATAAATTAAAAATATCAACTTTTTTAAATATACGACGTTTGTTCCACACCATTTACATTGTCATGTGGTCAAATACTGTGAACTAAATACCCTCTTTAGCAATCTAATCACAATATTTATACTTTTTTTGAGTGTTTTTCAGTCAACCTTGTGGTTATCATCCGTTTTTCACCTAGACTGTATATCATTATTTTGCTATTTGCGTACCGTAGTTTGATTTTATCCGTATTATTTGTCGTTATCCCTATCTGTTTAGTCTCTGATTTTAATATTTCTCTTTGTGGTTGTGCAATATATTGAAAGCGTGTTGTTTAACGATTTCATTTTATTTAAGTAAATGAGGGTCATTTCGACTACAGACTGTCTGGAGAGTGGAAGAATTACTGGTGTATGGTTCTTGTGGATAGAGGTTCCATCCTACCTTGCCGGGAATATTCCACTTGACTATGAGGTACTTCTTACACTATGATTAACTGATTTTGTTGTACAGTACCTGTTTTGTACTTAGAAAATACCCCTGGCTGCTTAACGGAACTGTTGAGGGGATTTCGAATTTTCGATGTTATTATTGTTGAACAGAACCATATTTCTCACGAAGAATAACAATTATTTTGATGAGTGTGGAAAGTTTTGTGTCTGTGCTTGTCTCAAAGAAGTTTCGTCAGCTTTGCAGAAGGGCGCGAAGATCTTCTTACTGACCAAAACGAGTCAGTTTTCGGCCTTAAATCAATGAATTCAATCTGAACAGTCATATGCTGATTCAAACATATACTTAAATAGAGTAATCTTCAAGTTCCTTTAAAAAATGTCAATTTTGTTAGCTGCACATTATAAGATTTAAAAATTGCTACCAGTTCAGCAGTTATCAAGAAAGGTTGTTTGAATGCAAAACACGCATCACATATCAAACTTTTACCACATCCTCCTAGTAAAGTAATGGTTAGGGACCCGAACAATTCAAAAAGTTACTGAAGACCATGGAAATCTATATCAATGAAACTCCTCTGCTTTGGACAATCCTCCAGAGGAGTGCCCACTACACCACCAGCTGTGGAAAAGCATAGTCTTCATGACGCAGGACGAAAACCTTTTCAAATTGAAAAGTTCATGGGTACCATGTTCAGTATATTCTCCATGAATCTTTTACGCAAACCACTGGCATGTATGAGAAACTACTGTAACAACTGATTTTGTGAACCACAGCGTTCACAACCACCGCTTAATGCTCCTGAGAGTTAGTAAATATTAGACTGTAGACCAATAGAAATTGCTCCCATCATGGAACTTATATTACCTCTTTTACCTGGTGATGAATCTAATGAATTACGTCAGAAGGTTGGATGTATCCTGTCGAATCAAAAGTAGAGCATCCCAAATTTGTCGAAGAACAAACGTTATGCATTACAAACATTAAGATCAGATAAATCTATTGTTATAACTAAAGCTGACAAAAGCAATATCACTGTGATTCTTAATTCTTAAAGACAAACTATACTGTCAAACAAGTGGAGTTGCAATGGGTTCACCAGCATCTCCAATTGTAGCAAACCTATATATGAAAGCCCTAGAATAGAAAGCATTGACAAGTTTTAGTTGTCATCCTAGAATATGGTACATATATGTAGATAACACATTTATTATCATAAAGAAAGCCGAAAAGTAAACTTTCTAACCGAGAATTATTTAATCTCAGAATATACAGAGTTTACCAATGAAGTAGAATCGGCGGAGGGAACTCTAAACTTTCTTGATTGTCTTGTAAAAAGACAAAATGACGAGAAACTAAAGCCGACACATTCCAACAAGTATTTGAATTTCCAATCAGATCATCCAATAAGAATGAAAGTTTCAGTAGCTTTAAATCTCGCTAACAGAGCTAGAAACATTATAACAGTAATTGTGTCTATAGAATAAGGTTTTCAGAGTGTGAAGCATATTTTATGGGGGAGAGCAGTAGACAAGTAAAGGTCAGAGTGAATGAACATAGACTATGCACGAAACGTCCACCTAGAAATGAGGTAGAACTAAAAAGTTTAGAAAAAAAATCGGCTATAGCAATGCATGCGATAGACAGAGGACATAAGATTGATTTCGACAGTGTCGAAATCCTTGGAAGAAGATTTCATTCACATAAAGAAAGGTTGACCTCTGAAGCCTTGCACATCTTAACTACATCGAATGCAGTGAATAGAAAAGAAGGGATAGACTTATCACCTGTATGGCAAACTCTAATGAAGCAAGACAGATGAAAAAACAATAAACACTCTATGAGCCTCCATGACCTTTTATATAATGTATTATCATGTTTATCACATCTGAATTGACGTCTTTCCATATGACAAATAACATACACACACACTCATACAGAAATAATCCTTTCAAATCAACTATAGAAAAATATACACAATAACAATTTGACATCAGTCATTATAAATATATGTTGACTGCTTGCATATTTCTATTGGTACAAATGTCCATGGACAAATGATCTTCAAATAAACTGACTTCAATTTATGTAAAAATTTTGACTATATATTTTGATCCGAATAAATCTGCTGAAGATGCTGTGGCTTACACAGTGAAACGTTCAGAAATATCCTGTTTTGATTTTCTTAAACACGCTGGAATTAATTTAAATAATTTATAATGAATTAATCCGACTCGGCGCTCAAATTATTCCAGGAAGTTCGTAGCACCTACGGTCTGGAAACTTATATTAGGTACCTATGTTTAAAACATTCCTGTATTGGCTTTTACATTCACTGCTAACTTTCAACGCACATCAAACATAAAAACAGAACTACAAGATCAAGTTCAATAATGAATGAAGAAGTAGATATATAATACTTGTCAGTAAATTCTTTGATATGTATTTCTAGCATCTTTTTTGTAAAATATATTGTAAAAACAAACAAAAAAACTTCATCATTCTAATCACAAAAACCACAAAATATGCAAATTATTTACACATCTTTTCAAGTATGAATACATTAAGTTAGAAAAAGTTTGGTTGGTAATATCTACTGTAATACATTAGATTTTATAAATATGTACAATTAAGAATATATATATACATATAAGGAATGACGTTAACTCATAAAATAGCGAGATTTCATCAAAGTGCTGAATAATAGTTAAGAGACAATGAAAGATAGAATCAAACAAATGTGACGCTTGGGGTTCATTCATATAAACGACAGCTGTTACGATTGTTCTTATTGTTATCAGTATAATTAATCAAAAATATGACACATTATGCTTCTTTAGTTCACTTTTCTTTTGAGTATACTATACAATGGACAACTTATATTGATGTATTGAGCCATTTCGAAGTAGGATTAGTTGAATACTTAAATAGTTGAGTAAATCATGTAGAATAGTTTATTAAGATCACTGTTGTTGTAAATATTATTACTGGTAGGGTGACACCGGTCCAGAAGGTATGAACTATATGCATACGAAAAGAAAAGAGACCATAGTGAAAATGAATAAATTTCATGGAATAAAATTACATTCTTAAGTTACGGTATAGTTATAAGCCACTGTTGCCTTTGAACCATTCGCTAATTCCATCATATATATGAGGGACATCTCCAGTTATAAGGACATGGTTCTGAATGGTTCAGCATACTTGATTTACTATCGCCTTATTCTTCATATGCATAAAATATGTAAGGAGAATTATTCTATGTATACTGTTAGATGCAATTTTTTGGTTAAGTGTATTCACTAATTCTCCAGCATTGTCTACACAATCTAAATTTATATTAGTTATATCATAGTTTACAAAAACAATTTCCCTTTACGTATTACAATATTTAACGTCTTTTTTTTAATATTTGCTTATGATTTTGTAATAATTTATGACTCTAAGATTAGGGAAAGCTCGCCATCATGTTGTTTATATTGAGGTTTGTATGTTTTCAAAAAGACACTTTGGATTTCGCCTTACATGTTATGTGCTTAGATGATTTATTACCGTAGCATATATTGGCATTTTGTAAAACAACTTGTTCATAACCTCATGTTAATTCCATATCCAAAGATATACGCCAATAATGATTAATGATCCTATTTGCCTTCTTTTGAAGATTACAGTTCCATGTTATTCATTTTTGAAAGGGTATAGTATTCCCACAATAAACTAAAGCTGGTATACACGTATGCATACATATATGTATGTTTACATATCAAGGTATAACATTATTGCAATTATTCTGAGTGAAACACAGACATTCAGTAGCACATATCCATTTTATCCTGTTCCCTGAAGTCTTCTATAGCCGCCACATGCACTCAACTCCCCCTCACCTCAGATGATCACTTTCATGTCATCCTCGGAAATATGCCCAACTTGTAGTTTCCCGTTCGGTTTCAATGGAGGGTTTGGTGCATGATTTTACTCAACGGTCTCTTCAGTGTATGCCCTTTCTTTGCTCCTCTAAATTTGTTTGTTAATGTCCGTAGTTTCTTATTAATTATCCTTTCTGACTAATTGATCTTCAAAATCAAGTAAAGATGGCTGTTGAAAATGTCTATCTCTTGACGCACTAAGTCTCCGAACAATAAGAACATTTATGTTAAAAGTTTGAATCTTGTTCCTTATGCTGCATCTTGCCGACTTCTACAGTGATTTCAAGGCAGTTAAAGTCTGTCTTACTTTTACGATTCTGCCTCCTCCGTCCTCATCTGTACTGGCTGTAACTGAAATGACGCTACCCTGCCAGTTAAGTGAAGGCGGTGACTTCGTCCAAATTTCTCTCCCTACAATTGATTGTTGCTTTCTGCTATTTGTTGTGTATTTTCATCACCTATGTGTCCTACATGTTCGCCATAAGGCCTGTTTTGGCTGCCAGCCTCTTCTGCCAACTAGTTGTTTCTAGCCAGGAGGCCTTTGAATTTGAGTAATATTAGACAAACGTCATCCGCAAAGTTTAGATATACTAGTGTTCATCTTATCTCTCCTTATGATCTTTTGCGTGCTTCAACATACCACAGTCAAAAATGACATCGTTGATTGTTGGTAGTCTTGTTACCACTGAGCTTTCCGACGTGAACTAATTCGCATATGGTAGTATCATATAGCTGTTAAATGAGGTTTATACAGATTTTGGATGTTGCGAAGTGGTTTATTAGTTTCTTAATTGCTTTCTGGCTGACATTATCGAAAATCCTTTCAAAGTCAATGAAGTTTACTGAAAGAGTTGATTGTCGTTTCATGCTCTTTTCTATGTCACTCTCTAATGTTGCGATTTGAGCTGCACATGAATTGATTTTCCTGATTCCGGCTTGTTTCGTCCTAATATTTTGTTTGGGGTAGACAGGATCATAATCGGTTGACAGTTCTAAAAATAATCCGTGTGTCAAAGCTTATATCTTACTTTCTGTCGGCGATATTGAATCCTGTGTTAACTGATATGACGAACTGTATATATAGCTATGCAGTTTCACAAAAAACTAAATTTTACCACCTGTAGTAGCTAATATGTGTTACTTACCAGCATTTGAGCTACTGTATGGTTTCTTTCTTATATCTTCACCGATCTGTTGATTCAAGGATGTACTAGACGCTTTATTATGCCTGATCTCATGTTGAACTTGTTCAAAATTATAATACAGTTTAAATCCCAGTTCATCAGGTCCAGTTATTCCATCACTTTTAAATCGTAATGTCATTATATATCCAGATGAACGAAAATACTCTGCTTCAGTGGTCATATGAATTTCAGGTTTATTACGAAATACCACCTTGTTTTCACAATATTCAATAATTAACGGATCTTCCGTATTCATACCATCAAACAACTGTACACGATCACCCATTGAAGTGTTTTCACAACTGAAAGATTTTAAAAACAAAAAAGAGCCATTTCCAGGAGTTGACTTGCAAAGATTTAGTTAGTTTTCAAGATTGATCATGAAATTACCACATCAGTTTGATAACCATTGAAGCCCATGGTGTACTTGAGACCTGTTTCATCCTTGTTTGGGACTATATACCAGTATACACCCTTGATACAAGGAGGATTAGGACATAAAGATTCTGAGTTCAATTCCTGATAAGATCAGAGATGCCTACTGCTCTAGGGCCGCGAACATGGTAGAAACAGCTGTACAGTGCAATTTTTATTCCTGTGGTTCCCAAACTAATGCGTCACTTCGTGATCAACCTTGAAGAGAGCTGTTGTTCAAACAGCGCTTTAACAGTTTGATATGCGTTATTATTATTTGAGACGAAATATTCCTCTTTTCTTTCCTTCACGTTCCCAGTGGAACATTGGGCTTCAAGCTAGAGGCTTGAAGTTTCAATAGCAGTGTTTATTTTTAAAGGATGTGGTTGCTAGCCTCATGCTCAACCTTTCCTCTTTACCAGTCTTATTATTGGCTTAGTCAGGTAAAGGAGTGCGTCGGCTGGGGATCGAACCCCGGACCATGTGCATGGTCGGCGAGCGTCCTAACCGCTGTGCCACAGACGCACTCCTCATTTGAAATTATGCGATTAAGCATTTTTGCACAATACCCAGGCTGTATCAATTGTAAGATATTTTTCAAAACAGTTTTAAGAAGTAATAACCTGGAAAACCCATCTATTCTATGTTTCACAAGCCTCTCAGTACTGCTACAGTTTCGCAACTATTAGGTTTTCAGGGTGTACAAGGTTGTACGAGAGAAACCTGACGTTGTATGCATATGGTTTATTACAAAACAGAAACCAATATCGAAGAAGTATATCATTTTAGAATCAGACCAGTGATCGACTCCTGAAATACCCAATCACACCTGAAGTACACATGCACTAATTCGAACATTTATTTGTGTTTGCAGTAGTTGCAAACTTGACTTAATAGTCCTACTGAATTGCTTACAAGCACAAATAATTTTCCTGGCTTTATTAAGCATTTCCAAGTTTGATTTAAATATACACAAAATTTGTGCTTACCTGTTAGAATTTCCAAGTCGCATGTACAAGAATTTAACCACTACTTTTTCTGTAGGTTGACCTATGAAAGTGTACACTATTGTTGTAGATGGTGGATAAGGTTGAGGGAAGTTAGGAGAAACAATAAATCCTTGGGTATGATTTGAAGGACCTGAAGATAAGATCAGTTTTCTTTGTACATATTTTGAATCCATATCGGAATAAGACTGACTACTATACTGAGCATCCATTAGGTCAGAGTGTATTAAATCGTCAACTATAAACAAGAAAAAAAAGTAATTTAAATTTTATAATTGTCATATGATATACAATGTTCAACCTAACACTGACAATCTATTTTTCTCTATATTCTCAAATGTTCGCTCTTTACATCAGCTCATACGAGGTAAATAATAATGATGTGTTTGCTCTCAGGGATTTGATTAGTTACAGGTAAAATCAGTTAGAGGAACACTAGAAAACTAGAGAGTATTGAACAACCGTTTCGCCCTAGTGTGGCACTCTTCACCAGTGTGCACCCAATGGAGTTGGAACCCAGGACCTTCTGGTTAAAAGGAGAGCTTATAAACCATTCAATCATTCAGACTTGACCCAATGGTGCTGAAGATGTTGCCTTGTAGGGCAATAAAAGCTTCGCAGATAAACCATCCAGCTCAGAGAACACAAATATATCAAAATCATCCAGCTGAGCTACAAATCTCTTTTATATATGTATTTATTATTAATTTATTTCGATTACAGCTTGATGCCACACCGTATTTTCAGTACAAGTATGGAATTTTCAGCATGGATATCGGTAGCCCAAATTTCTCAGGCCGAACATAGATATCGGGTGTGCGTCGGCAGGGGATCGAACCCCAGACCATGTGCATGGTCGGCGAGAGTCCTAACCACTGTGCCACCGACGCACAGAGTACACAAGCCGCAATACATTCCCGTCTCTTTTCTGCTCAATGGTGAAGAGCCCTATTAGTAACATTTTATCACCTAACCACCATAACAACAACTTACTAATGGTTTTATTTCATTGCCTAATCAATTACCTCTTTTTTCAAACCATGCAGACAAATTTCTGTTTCATGGAATTTCTGTCATTGGCACTAAAGTGTCTCAAGTTAATATTACGATTAGAAAGTAGTTGAATCGAAGGGGATGAAATTCATAGAGCTTTATTAAATTAAGAAATTGATATTTATGTGTATAAAGTGAGTCATGGGCTGTCCGAAAATTCTAATTATGATAACAGAACAATGTAAGCCACAAAACTGTAACATAATTACTTTGAATATCTAAAAGAAACTGTTGTGAATTTGCACCTCAGCTGATGTAGTACATAATTATTGATAATTCTAAAAATAATAATACAACAAAAGAAGCAAAGCTGGATTTTCTTTGCATATTTCACAATTATTAAAAGTCTGCAGGATTCAGCTTCAGTTCAATAGTCCAAATCGATCACTACCAAGAATTTTCGACTATATGTGAATCTATAGAATGATGATTATACGTACTTGGTGATAAAAAAGATAAAGGTGTCATGAAAATGGAAGTAACATTCCCTGAATTTTAACCGTTCTCTAACTGATACATATTCACGGTGTAAAATTCGTGAATTGATAGAATTTCGAATTTGTAAGTCTTTGGATTGTGTAGGACGAGTGTATGAGTGATTAGCGGGCTGACCGCACAACTTGAAGGACCTGGGTCCAATCTACGGTGAGACCATTAGTACACACGGCGAAGTAATCCCAAACAAAAGAGAAATAGCTATCCAGTATTCTCTCTTTTTCAGTGGTTCTCTAGCTGAGTCAGTTCCGCGGATTGGTCTTGAAACCATTGAACTCCCTACAAACTAATGCCATTCTATTTCAAAATTAAATGGGCCAAATTATTATGTTGCATTGCACAAAGGAGAATGAAGTAATGAAAAGATAGCCAAGTCTACAAAGTATATTCAGTGCAACTTTCATATTTTTCGCCTGTACAATTTATGACATTTAAAACTGATTCAGTGATAGGTGCTTGATTATCCCTGAAACAACTTTCACACGTTCATCATAAGATAAAAAGTGATTTCTAAAACATAACAAATCAGGCACCAACGTAATGATACACATTTCACTTGTAGATACAAATAATAGTAATAGTAGTACTAGTAGTCTATTCTTCTATTTATTGACTGTCAGAGTGTCTGGGAGAATAACATAAATCAACTTCAAATTGTTCTGTTTTTCTTAATGTTGCATGATATTTCCTCAGTTGTTCTTTCTTTCTACATTCGATGCCATTGTATTCACATATGCCTTTGTCAAATGAATTAGGATCAAATTTGGGTGCAAAAATAAACTTTGTAAGCTAAGAAATATATTTGTAACTAAGTCAAGCATAAAATACCTTGAAATAATTCTATCCTCTAACCTTTCTTGTTCATCCTATAGTCTGTTGATATCTAAGGAAATGTTCTTTCTAACCTACTGCATTAACAAGTTAAGACAACCAGGAATCTGTTATACAAATTCCAGTGTTTTAAGACTTTGTGTTTATTTAGGTAATGGCTCCAACGCCACTTTGCACCTTTCCGTTTTGCTGCCAACACGCACATTCTTTGAGTTTGCAGTACTGACATATTCATTAGGGTCAGCTCGTTACTACTTTAGTTGACAGACACTAAGACTCATGAGAGGAATGCTCTAAATCCATATTTTCTGACTCTCAGCAGTCTCTGTATTCAAAACTGTCGTTCTGCATCTCATCTGTTAGGACTGGAAGTCATTAAAAATATAAAAAATTTCAGCGACCTGCGTTCTATGCAACAGAGAAAGTGTTAACAGTGAAACTTATGACTTAATGTGGATTCAGCAAAATAAATGGTTCTTGTTTGTCATTTACGGTTACAATATTTTAATTATCTTATCACTTTGGTTATTAGTATTTTTACCATTATCATTTTATATTTTTGTATATTTTCGGCTTTATTGTTACTTTTACTGCCAGAAAGTTGCTGCTTTTGAGTAAACTGGATAAAATATTGTACTGAATGCTAAGAATTTCCATCAAAAGGATTGAGAAGATCATTTGTATGGTTGACCACTTGATGAATGTAGCCTGAATTCGATAACTGACTGTCACTACTCCATTCATTGGTATGAATAGTCGTCCCAGGCACCATTAAGCGCTAGTGTCATATATCCCAAATACCTATTGCTGATTCGCACTCAATCCCCCTCGATTACATTTTCTTTTTATCAAAAGTACTTAAAGAATCTGTAAATTAAAAACGAACGACATAAGTTCTCGAACTGATTTTCTGGTTGGACACTCATGTCACCAACAAACAAACACATTGGTGCACCTGTTGTATCTTTGCATATGAATGACACCTCCACATTGGCAATTTTTCAACCTTCCCATCAGTCCGTTCTTCAAACAATAATCAAAACAAGATCTGGAGCGAATTCGCAAAGGAAAAGGTGTACAGCACCCATAAGTACGTCTGGATAAAACGGAGTCACCTGGTTGGTTGCTCAAGGTCATTTGTCCGTTCGCTAGGTAGTTTCGGCTTGGGCTGCTATTCTTTAGATTTACCCAAAAATCTTTATAAGTCATGTAGAAAAGATTTTTTAGGTTGGAATCTTTTCATTTTATGTAGATTAGTGCACTGAGTGATTATCTGTACACTTTGACGGGTATCAGTAAACAAAAACTTTAATCACAGATACCAATATTTACGGAAAACATTAGGAATGAAACTGTGAAAGGGTTTTCGTGACCTATTGGCCGGAAATTCATTTAAGTCTCTAAACACCCATCAACAGATTCATTAGCTGGACAATGAAGATAGGATAACCAACCTTAAGGAATTAGCAACAGGGAACTCCAAGAGTTCAGTAAACCAGCTAACGACCTATTGTTGCACATATCGCTGAGTGATATCACAAGCTAAACCAACAGATTTAAAGCAAAAAGTCAGGTTTCTGAGAGTGTTGGGTAGAATACTATTTGTAGAGGAGATTAAAGCTTGTGGGTAATCTAGGAGTCAGTTAAAAGAGGTGACAGGCAACAGAATACAATGAAAGTGTGTTGCTGAGGTCCTACACACGGATGAGTATTAATCATTGTCGAAGAAAATGGTGCGTAAATAATAGTATTCTTTGGAGCAGAATGGAAGTTCAGCAACAAAGTAAAAACCAAAGATTCCGCGTAAGAAAGAGAACTAATAAAGTATCAGCTTGAGAATATAAACCACCAACTAATGTATCTACTCACCTTCACGAAAATGCATATTTCTTGATGAAGAGAAACCAGCATCAGCAACCAATAATCTAGACTTGTTAGTATTTGTTCGTGATAGCTCTTGACTTTCTCCTTCATTCCTACTGGAGTCAACTTGTCCATTCTCCTCATCACCTAGGAATGGTGAAGGATTCACTCGAGACTCATGAACAAATTCAAAGGTTCCTCGAAATCCTTGACCTTGGTATATAGGATTATGACTTACGAAATCCATCTTCAAATTTGAGGTGTGCGAAACTAATTGAATATTCATTACATTACTACAGATTCGTGCCAGCGTCTTTGTGGTTTCTTCATAGACTTCAGAAACAGTAATGAAATCGTGCTGCAAGGGCAGGTGATTCCATGTGCTACACCTATTCAAGAAAAATGAATAAAATCCGAAATGTTTCTTTTCGAGTATGATTTTGGTACTTGTCATTTTAAGTAACTTATTTATTTATTTATTTGCGCTTCGTATTTTTGAAGTCATTCCATAATTCAGCTCAAAATATGAAGTAATATTCCACCACGAGAAACATCTTGGTTCACGGCACTTGGACCCTGTTACTTTAATGAGAAAAGAAAGCTATCAGATTTCCAAAAGGAGGTCGGCGTATTGAAAGTGTTCTACATTAGTTTTAGTCTGCCAACCCAAGGTAAATTTAAGTGGTTCATTTAGGGCATGGAATGAAATACATATATCAGCTGACGTCATTTACATTCACATTGAAAATATTTAGGCATGAATGAAACTAACCAAATTTTGATACACTAAATCACACTGTTTAGGTAACATCCTGGCTTATAACGTTTTGGGATACCTTGAACAGACAAGCCTAAAACTTGTGATAGATGGGATGACATTTTACAGGAGACATGCTGATGTGACATTTATTATATGGAATAATAATAAACATATCTCCCGGTTACTTTACGCGTTTAAAACAATTAGTTCCCTTTATGAATTTAGATAAAGCAATA